ACCGACATCTGGTGAAAATTTCATGTCATTAGCACCTCTAGTAATATATTTACTGAGAAAAATGTTGACGTGTTCAATACTTATTTTACCCGCTGTACATCCCAGTTAGTCACCGGGTTTCATTTGAAACGACATAAAACACCCACTGACTCTGTGCTGCACAGAAGACCCCAGTGAAATATTCCTAATGTTTACAAGCAGCCTCACATTGGAGCTTTTACCCAAACACAGTGAAAGAGAGCACATGGCTGACATTCCTGCAGTGGTGTTTACACGAGGGCCGCTCAGCTGGAGTGAAAGTCAAACTTCTACTACTGATGTTAACAGGCACTGTGTAAAAAACTGAGTCACTCATTCACTTCCAATGAGCCACTAAGGGAACTTATTCAACCACACTTCTGTCATTTATTTATAGTCAAACTGCATGATTTACTAATGTGAGATAAAAATCTTTTGTGAATTAAATGAAGCATTCTCTGTAGCCATTTTGGTCAAACAGGATAAATGATGTCATGCACAATCTGTTGTAATCTTACTGTGAATCACTCTCACCAATTTTTACATCAGTATCAAAAGTTAAATAATCATTTAGAGTTGGCTAATGTTGAGTAGTTGTGGTGGCCATCTTGAGTTGGATTAACTCAAAAAGGCAATGAGTTGCAGATATATATCCAATGATTACATTCTGAGAGTTTCATTAAAATCCGTTGAGTGGTTAGGAAGATATTGCTAACAGACAAGGTTGAGAGCAAAAGCTAATGTTAAAATATTTAGTAAAACTACTGAGCAGTGACAATCGCTTAACATGGTATGTTCCACACCAGCTTTTAGCTCAATATACATAAAACTGGCAGCTGTAAAGCCACTTTTTTGTTTCCTAAGATCAGTTGGCTGTGGCAGCCTTCCTGAATTGGCTTGATCACAAAAGTGAATTAGTTGTAGATGAACATTCGTAGATTATCCCCTGAAAATAACATTCAAACTCATCCAATGGTTTATGAGATTTTTTGCTAACAAATACAGTTTATGTGAAAGGTATTTGAAAGAAAAAAAACAACAGATCTTGTACAATCAGTTAGCCCTTTCACTATGTTTTGGGAATGACTCTCAGCTACCACCACGCCAAGCTTCACCACAATTTCTTTAAAAGTGACCAAGTTGCAGCCATTTTTGTATTTGCTAAAGTTGCTCAGCTCTAGTGGCCATCTGGCTGCAGATTACTCTAACATGTTTTCAGTTGTACATCAAAATATTATAGTTTCTGCAGGAGATTAATTTTTATCACATATTAAGAGGTGTTTTTTGATAAATCTACAGACATTCAAGAAAATGCACTAAAATGATCGTGAAGCGCACAGTGTGAAAATCAACACGACCTATATATAGAGAAAGGGAATAAAAACGTGGAGTCCGTTTTCTCTCTCTCTCTCTCTCTCTCTCTCTCTCTCTCTCTCTCTCTCTCTCTCTCTCTCTCTCTCTCTCTCTCT